GACTGCCAAAAATTTATGGGCAAGTAAGATGTGAAAGAGTTAGTCTTAGCTGTGTATTTCACAATAAAATGAACTACATCAGTGACATACCCTAGCAATACCTCAGAATCTACTACAGAAAATACCAGTGGTATAGCCTGGCATTACACTGCGAGAGAATCCAAGTTTGCACTAATGCTATGGATGACGCTGGTGAATGGCAACACTCTTGCAAAAGGCCTGGCACTCCTAAGGGATTAAGCCCTGGCAGAAATCTCTAAGGAAATATTCTGAAGGTTTCGAAAAGGATACACTTTCAAGTTTTAGCAGTTTCATAACAATGCATTTGCCTAGGGAAAACAATACATCTAGGAAATAATGGCAGCTACAACTGGCAATTCCTCCTCCTGCCCCACAAATGTGACACTTAGCTTACCTTGATTCTTACTCCTCACTAACGCCCTTGTCTTATCCCTCTCAACGTTCTACCTAAACACCAACATGCTCTAAATCAACAAACAGTAATGAGAAATCAGAAAAGTAAGGCATACCAATGGAAGAAGTTTGTTTTACCAGCTTTAACGGCTATGACATTAACAAACATTTCAACTCCAAGACAAGAAATTCACAATTCAATAGCCACCTCAGGCAATAAGAATTTACATAAGACAACCACGCACCAGTGCCTCCACTCCATAACTCCAGTGCTCTACAGTTGCACCAACACAAACAGAAGTGTGTAAAAACTTTCACTGCAAAGCGAAAGACAAGCAGCTTCTCTGGTTCCTTTTGGGGAGAAAAACCAAGTATAACAGTTTAATATCAAAGCACACTACGAAAAATGCAAGAAGTGGGGCATTTCATTTCCATTCCTTTTCTGACAGTGCTATTAGCATAGGTAATACCTGAAATTTTACTAACTGCACTGCCTGCGTTCTCCCACTCACTTGTAACAGTGCAGCAGAGTGAGGACATCTTCAAGCCATGGGACAGGCTACACAGAACAGTCTCCCTCCTTCTGCTCCACTCTGATGGTTCCACTTGTTACACTACAACTTTGGGGATGTTTGATAGGACCCAACCGCAAGCTCTCACTGCCATCCAACCTACCATTCTCTCTTCCACCTCAGCAAATAGACAGCACTGCCGCAATTCAGATTGGCCATTTTAAATGAAATAGTACGATATTCCACATGTCTCTTCCTCTTCAGGTTCTGAACACATCCAGAGTCTTGTTCAATAGCATAATAATTAGTATTCAAAAATTCCTTAAAACATTTTGAAACATGAATTAAGTTTCAGCTCCATCTTATCACTTTGGCAGAGAAAACTGTTCCAAATGGAGCTTAGTGAAAGAAAACACATTGAAGAGAAAAAGCACCCATGTGACTGGGGAAGGCAAGAGATATGCACAAACCCACAGAAATTATGCCGTTTCTTCTGACCCACTACACCGACCCTTTTTAGAGGGATGAGAAAGGACACATTATAGGCGAATTTTATCTGATTTATGCAAATACAAGTAGAACAATCAGCTAGTGCTAAAATAGAAAAAGCCTCAAAGAGCTGAAGAATAGAAAAGAGATGAAGAATAAACAAACCATGATCTGTAACTAAAAGGGCAGAGTACCCAAAATGTTGCAGTGTTTCAGAGAAATCCTTCAAAAGGCTTGGTAGCTATCCTTACCATTTTAATTCTCTACTTTCACTCACACTTTCATTCTCAGAGCATTATGCACAGCAGAACACAACTGTTACAGATTGCTAAGTGCAGTTTGGAAGTAGTCAAAGGAAGGCAGACCCTGAAATCATCCTTGCTTACAGAGCTGAAGTTCTCTACAGTGGTGACTTGCACTCCCTCTACTATATTATTTGTTTTACAGTATCACTGCAACATGTTGTTTTGGTTTGGTTTTTTGTAAGCTCAGTATCCAAGAAAAACAGGCCTACATGACTGTATTCTGTGTGCACATCCTTCTCTCTCTGTCCTTTTCTCTAATTTCCACTACCAATAATTGTCAGTCCCTGGACCAATTTCCACTGACCTCAGGAAAACTGAGATCCCAAAATATACAAGTTCCTCTACATTTTTAAAAAGACTCGTTTATTACAAGAGAGATTCTTAATTCCTCTCCCCCCAAGCAGTGTCCTGTTAAACTAAGGCTACAGGAAAAACAAAATTATTAAGACACCAAAGAAGCCATGTGAAAGTGAATCAAAAGAAAACAGCCTTCAAATAACTCTACTGCTTGAAGCAGTGCTTACTCTTCAGCACAACTTATAATTGTGTTTACTCTCTCACCTAACACTTTGTGATCATAGAATCATTTAGGTTGGAAAACACCTTCAAGATCATCAAATCCAACCATCAACCATGCCCAGTAAACCATGTTCTGGAGTACCTTGTCTACGTGCTTTTTTAATACCTCCAGGGATGGTGACTAAACCACTTCCCTGGACAGCCTATTCCAATGTCTGACAACCCTCTCAGTAAAGAAATTTTTCCTAATATCCAACCTAAATCTCCTTTGCCGCAACTTGAGGCCATTTCCTCTCGTCCTATCACCAGCCACCTGACAGAAGAGACCAGCACCCACCTCACTACAACCCCCCTTCAGGTAGTTATAGAGAGCGATAAGGTCTCCCCTCAGCCTCCTCTTCTCCAGAGTGATGCTACAGTCTAGTGAGCCTAACTTGGTAGATCAGTAGACAGCTAAATAGATGACAGTATTTAGACAGGGAAATCAAGCCCACTTTTGTACAGGAAAGTCAAGTTCCACAAACCTACAGGAGTTCTCTAGAATATGTGCCTTACCCATGCACCGATGGACTCTGCTTGATAAAGCCTGCTTTAATTTCCAAGAGACGTTTAACAATATTCTTCACAAAAGGCTCTTAAAGAAATTAAGCTGCCACGGCAATAAAAGGCCTTGCACGGATAAGTTATCTGGTTAAAAGAGAGGAAACAAAAAGCAAAACAAATGGTCACTTCTGACAATAGAGTAAGGCCACCAGTGAAGTCCCACAGAAATATGAGCTGGAGCCCAAATTGTTTGGGACATTCTTACATCTGGAAAAGGAGGTGAATGCTAACAATTTGCTGATGACACCACATTATTCATGGTAAGGCAGACAGGACCAGCCGCAAAGAATGGAACAACGACCACAGGCTACAGACAGCAAAGCTGGCAAAAGGAATTCAGTAAAGGTAAGAGTTACCCACAGGAATCGCAACTTTACACACACAGTTCTGGGCTCCACACTAAACATTGCCACCTAGGCTGAGCACACACAGTTGAGTCAATCCGAATCTCCCATCTGAAGAAGCAAGAGTCTCTATCTCCAGAACTATTTTTCCCCAAAAACATTCTTGCTGGGGACCTTGCATCACCTCTAGCAACACCTTACTCTGATGGCCTGATTCAATTCATTCACCTGGCAGAAAAATACCCCTCCCAAGCAGATGGTTTTTGCCAGGCAGGGAATTCAGCTAGCTCAAGGAAAGGTCAAGCCAACAGCAGCATTAGCACAAAGGAAAGGGGGAAAAACTGTGCGGCTGTGGAGAAAGAGATTCCTCTCCCAGCTGTGGCAGACTGACAGCTTAACCATCTTGCGCAATTCCACTGGCAGGAACAAGCTCTTGTGGTCCTAGTGAACAGATCTAAGAAAATAACAAGGCAGAAACTGATCTATTTATCACTCATTTAAGATGGAATTCATTATCCATTTGCAAATGAAGTTTTATTGTCCTCTTTTAAACACTAACACATTGGAATCTTCCTGGTCCTTGGGGATTCTAACCCTAAAAAGGAGGGAGAAACCCTCATGTGGGGGAAAGCAAACATTCTCAGCTTGTCATTTGATTTTTGTTTCAAAAAGCACCACCACATGCTATGCTCTAGTATATAAAAAAATGCATCCAAGATGAATTGATTTTTATTATTTTATTGCAGAAAAGTATTTGACATTTAGAAACATTTCTGACACATAGGTCTATTCCTACGTAACTCTATAATGAAATATTTTTTTCCTGTGAGCCGAACAATCTGTCAACACTTCTCACTTGGCTAACCTGCCAATATAATACAAGTCTGCTATATGGAGAATTACAGAATATAGACTCATTAGATTTATTTATAGAATAAATAGCACATATTCTGCTGAAATCCTGCACAGCAAGGAACACAGTTGGCTGGATGTTGCCTCATGCTGCTTTCTAGTAAAACATTACTTTTGGGAACCACCTGAAACAACTTGCCTTTCAGCTGAGTGAGGATGGGCTTAAGGATTCAACCTCTTGCTCTCAGTTCTACAATAAATGATTAATAACTGTGCAACTGGAACTCAGAATACACTCCCACATCAAGCTCTTGTGTCTAATAATGTTGGCAACCACAGCCAAGAGGCCCGTCCCACCAAATGATGTTGTGCAACCAATGCCTTTTTGCTTGTTTTAAGACTGAGACTACAAATCCACCCTGGACAGGACTAGCACCATAATCATGGAACGAGCGTTTGGCAGCTTGTGGCTAGCCAGCACTCTTCATCTTTGGGTACACAGAGAGCAGCACGTATCAAAGTCAGATGCCTGAAGGGACAAAAAACCTCGTATTTGCACCACTTGTACCAAACATGGAATTACCCATATTTATAAATGAGCATTTTCTTCCAAAATAAGGCAGCGTTGAGATTGCATAACATGAAAACAGTTACCAAATTTATCAAGTTTATATTGAACCTACAGTTCAAAACAGGATACACATGATATATGTGAGTTTGGGCTCAGTAAAGATATCCCGATTAATCTATTGTCAAAGGCATCCTGCCATCTCAAGCATACTGTTATTATTAAAAAGCGTTTTCCAAAATACTAAAATGCCTGCAGAGATGCAAACGAGAAAACATTGCAAAACTATCAAAACCAGGAGCATAGTTCCTTCTAATGTTAGCAAAAGGACCCGAGTTATTGGATATTCTCTCACGAATGATACACACAAATTGTCAAGTGGTGAAATCATTACCTATGTTCAGACCTTCAACAGGACATGTCAGAAATTAGCAAGTAGGTACAAAACCAGAACTAAGGAGAAGATTCCCTCTGCAGCTCCTTCTCTTCAGCTCTTTCAGCCAGCTGAAGGTAGTGTCTACCTTAAAAAAAAATAAAAAAAAAAATCAGTGTGGACCTTCCCAAAACAACACTTGTTTTTGGAAGCATATTTTCAGACAGAAAAGTTGAAACAGAGGATCAAAATAATGTTCACTCAAACCCTTATTTTCTAGGGGAACAAAGAAATATGTCTTTGTATTCTGATCACATATTCAACATCCAAACCAACAAAGTTAAATCAGTTTGGAAAAGCAAAATATTGCTAAGAATAAAGCATATCTCTAGATGTCCTGGATAGAAACAACAAAACAATTATCTGCTGGTGAACTCAAGCTTTGTCAGATTTCTCTTTCTCTTCCAAGAAAGAAAACCAACTCTACTCCTTTCTATTTTTAGCCAAATGAGCAAACAGTGGCACTGCAAGCGAGAGGAGATGGCACTCTGCACTGGGAGTTTCAGAGCTCCACGTGGTAAATTTGAGTGACTAGAACTAAACCCCCAAAACTTTTAAAAAGCATGAAGTATCTTACAGATTCTGGTTGGCATTTTTAAGTCCTGAAGCCAGTACATCAGATTTAGATAAGGCGCATCCTTATCTTGGCACCAGACTTCAGCATAACCTCCTGGTTTTGATTCCAAGCATCAGAAGCCAGAGCCTCACCCGAACACGTGGGCACTTCAAGGTACATAATGGGGAGAGCCAGATCTCCAAGAGGCCAACCACCGGTTCAACAGCACTGCATCCAAATTTAGTCTTTCACATTCCTGCAATAACTTAAGTGGACAACAAGTTTTCTGCTTTCAGTATGTCTTGTGTTAACTACAGAACTAGCACTTTCAAATTTTCAGCAAGGTGTTCCGAGTCTTTTGTGCATTTTACCAGAAAACAATTTACAAATGTTACAATAAAGACACATTCTTATCCCAGTAAAAGGATTTTTCTTAGAAAGTCATCACAATTAAGCGTTTCTCTCCCACTGCATCCTTATGCTTCTATGGGCTTACTTGCCTACTAAAATGATATCTAAAATATCAATATTTAGCCAGCTTATATCAGGGCAAGTCTTTGCAACACAGGAAAAGAAAGGAGAGAATCCAAAATCACCAGTGCAAACTTGAGGTACATGTTCTTCTTGAGGAAAGGGTTCTTTCAAACCAAAAATATTCACTTGCTGAGTTTCTGAATATCCTAAGTAACTCATTTTGTCAATGCATCCAAATATTTAATGTTCATAAACCTTCTCAACTATCAAAAGGTATACTGCAGTTTCAGCAGATGTCGCATAAAAATTTGCACAATACAAAGAGCAGGCTACGGACAGAGACAGTAGCTGAAAAGCTTGGAGACCCCAGTCGCAAAGCTCTAATGTCAGGGTTTCAGCTGCCCTCACAACTTCTGTCCACAGCCTATTGTGTGTGGATGTTTGGCCATAAATGCTGTCTCACAGTGCACTTAGCAACTTCAGCAGGTTTGTAAAATGTTAGGAACCACCAGAGACCATGAGCTGCAAACTGCCATGTGCTCCAGTCCTTAAATACAGGGGTTGTAGAAGAGGTGCTTTGAACCTCCAGAACCGGCACTAACTGTTCATTCAGCTTCAGAAAAGTACCATTTTCCACTACCCCCTCCAACTGCTGTAAATCCACAAGCATGTCCGTCAGCAGTAGCAACCAAGAATCTCAACTCTGTGTTGAGCAGCCGGTAAAAATTACATCCTCTCCGATTAATTACAACCCTGGAGTTAGCCCCTCCGCTCCTGCTCACCCAGAAATCCTGCTGCGTCATGGGTTGGCTTGCCATTTCAAAAACAGCTGCACCCACTATGTGTACTTTCTCAGGCTATCCACCAAAAATTCATCACAGTCGAATCACAAAGAAAGAAAGAATAAACTGGCCTCTAGTTCCATAAAAGAGCTTCTTCCCATAGTCGGAGTACCTTTTGACAGGCAACCTATACACTGCCTTGCGGTCCAGTGATTTCTTCACAGATTGATGGATTATACTGTATAAACGCTCATCAAATGACCTTGCTATCTACAGATGAACAAAAAACCCCTCACAAGACAAGGCAAAACTGCTTTGGATCCAGAAAATCTGGACTAATCCTGCTCCCATACCACCCCTATCACGGAAAAGTTAAGCAAGTCCTAAGATGTCTAAATCCAGACATGGATGCCGTCCACTACACCAAACACATGACACAATTTGAGAACAGTTGCATTAGCAGTGTGATCTGGAGGCGGCTTTTCGTTCAACAACTTCATAAACGCTACTACTAGACTAACTCTACAGAGCTACAAGTACCACAAAATTGTGTAAAACACAACTGAAATCATCAATAGTTATAAAGCAGCCCAATGTAGTTTGAACTCACACTGTCTTACCAGAACCTCAGTTTTTTGGCACTGATATTGGGAGTTGCATGCCTTTAAGTTGCTCTATGGATGCTACCACCACCTTCTTTCACCCAAGTCACACTTCATCTCAACCACTGCTCGTGCTCCCCGCTCCACCCCCAGGAACACCCAGAAAAGCAAAGCGTGGCCACCCACCACCTCCCAGCACAGGGCAGTCACCGAGTCACCAGCACCCATGGCAGAACTCTTCCTACCAAGCAGAACCCTTGTTATTTTTGCTGTCCAACAGCTCAGGACCCCAGCTTGGTGTTCCTGCCTCTTCCCACCGCCCAGCACTGATCAGGGGGCATTGCCTACACTCGGCTTCTCCCCAGAGCCACGGTTCCCAGCTCCAGTCCCACCAGCAGGTCCAACCTATCCACCAGCCACCCTGGGCTGGCACACCGCTTCTCCCACCCCAAAGGTCAGGGAAACACCACCGCGGTCCGTCCCTCCTTCATAAGCCACGGAGCGGCCTCTCGCCCCCAGGCCAGGCGGGCTGCCCACCCCACCACTATCCCCTCGGCCTGGTGCACACCCCACACTAACAACTCGGCTATAAGCAACAGGAGCAGCGGGGCCGAGGGGTCCACAGCTCCGGGGCTGCAGCCCCCCACCCCCCCCCGTCCCCCCGCCCTGGACGCCAGCCAGACGCCAGCGCC